TGGAGCCATGTTAAAATACTGGAGAATTTGGATTGGTTCATCTTATTACATACAGTAGTCTGCCCATTTGAGAGCAATGACACATTTATTATTTGAAAATGACATGCTCACGCGTCTTTAAAAACTAGATTTGATGGGGTTATAAGTATTTGTTTTGCCAATATACTGTTATCAGATCTTTGAAACGTGGGACCAGATAACTGTTCTTTTTGAGAGGAGACAAGTCGGCTATGAAAAAGACAAGTGTTATGGGGAAACAGAGAGTAGATCAAAGAGAAAATAGAAAGGAAATATATTTGGCCAAGAAAGTAAAATATAAAGAATGATAAACAATGGACACACATACTGTATATTAATTCAAATGGGGTAACAAGGAAATGTAAAAAATAGAGACACATGGGATGAAACAGTTTAGACAACAGCGAGAGCAAAAGAGAGATGAAGAGAAAGAGAAGGGCGGCAGGAGGAGAGGAGGAGATAAATGAGACATGGAAGAAGATGAGGGAAATAGAGGAGATGAAAACAGCAGGTTTCAGTGTCTGCAAGTTTTCTGTGAGTCAGTGGGTGTTTCTCAATCGCGAGTACGCTTGCTTGGTAGCACATGTCTGCCGAGCATCTTGCTTCAGAAGCGAGGCAAGAATACTTCCTGGCATTCGGAAAACGAAGTGTGGAACACGCTAGCAAGTGTGCAAGTGTGCGTCATATGAGAGGCCTTACATCTTCCGCCACAGATTTGGGGAAATTGGTTCGTGCGCAAAGCATTGTGGGGATTTTAAGACCGCGGAGTCTACTCATGTGCACACTCGATATTTCTCCAAACGGAGTACGCCGGGCTCGGTAGATTTCCAAGTATGCTGGAGATTGGAACAGTACTTCGGCGGCACTCGATGACGTAGTATGCTTGAAATAGTGGCTCTGAAGCAGCTTTACTCGCGATTGAGAAACACCCCCTGTCTCTGCCTGAATGAACTGCTCCGACAATACTGAGGTGAGCGTGGGCAAGGTAGAGCAAGAAGGGAATGAACACAGAAAGCAAGGAGGGATAGACATCATTGTTCATTGACAAGATGATTGAAAAACAGATGAATATGGATGTAAATCTTGATGTAACTTCAGTTTTTTTGCACACTAGACAGCTAGTCGGATCAGAAATATCACTCATAGATACATTTAGCTTTATTAACAAAGTGTTATTTATTGGCAGTCCCTCAGAAACTAACACAAGCTTATGAACAAAGAGCGTAATGAAGCCGTTGAAACATTTTTATAATATTAGACTGTAAGGAAATGTAGGGGGAGTTATTTGTATTAAACATTTATTCATCTATTTTATTATTAATGTAACTTTATCCAAATGGGTAAAGCACCAGGCAGAAGAAACACATTTAGTATTTAAAGTGACCATTGCTCCACAGAAATCTCATTTATAAATTCCATTTTGAAATTTCCAACTATTTCTTTAGAACTTTAGAGACCTTTTCCTTTCAAGGACGGAACGAGCAGCAACAGGAGCAGGAGCTTTCAGAAGCAGAGCTTTTTAAAAGCAGCACATACTGCAGTCTGCAGAGTGAAAAGCTTTAGAGAAGCAGGGCGCAGCGGGGAGTAAACAAATATAGAGACTCCCAGTGAAAGCCATCTGACCCCTGCCTTGAATCTGATGATCCTCGACGCCCAACCATCCCAAACTAAGAGCGAGATCAAAGTCCTCACAGCTCACACTTTGCTTTCCTGCTTGTTGTGTTTCTTAGATATACTGTTTACTTAAAAACACACCACAGCTTCAGCATGGGTCCACACTTTGAGCAGTCTTGATAACATGAGAAGGGAAACATGGTTTGAAATTAAAGGTGCCCTATCATACTGTTTTTCATCAATATATAAGTCTCAGATACAAAACATGTCTCTGAAGTGTTTGGCTCCAAATACCAAACAGATCATGCATTGCAGCATCCCATAAACCCCTCTGTTTCAGCCCTGTTTGAAAAGTGCTGATTCTGTGTCTGTTACTTCAGATGAAAATAAGGAGCCACTCCCCACGCCCCTCTGAGAGATATTTGGTTAAAAAGAACACAATGGTGCTCTAGGAGGAGATTCAGGTGATAAGGTGGTGGGGGGGTGTTACCTTGGTTGGTTATTGGCTAATGGTTACACAAGCCAAAAAATCGTTATGACATCATAAAGTGGCCAAAATCTGATCAGCTCATTTTCAGACAGGTCTTTATATAAATGGATCAGGACAAAAAGTGAGCAAATCTTTTGTCCTGAAACTTTCAGAATCTCTTAACACATATGGGACACATGTTTATGTATTTGCATAATAGGTGAAATAATAATAAATAAATCCATAAATGTACCTGAACACCAAAGAAGAAAGTTTTCTTCTTGATTAAAAGTTGATTACAGCAAACATTCAGGCATATTTAAATCATCAAGTATCCTTGGAGTCAAATAGAAATAGTTGTATTAATTATGATTATAGAAAGGAGAGAAGAGGAGGCTGTTCCTGCAAAGCCTCTCCGCAGCGGGGCTATAATTACACCAAATAGAATCTGGGTACTAATTAGCACCTCAGAAAAATACAACCGCATTCTAAAAAAGCATCTCATGAATTGTTTATCTTCTTGGTGTCGGCTGTGAGGTACCAAAACAAAACAGCATCGATTCATGCAACAGGGCATCAGTATTACTGTGGGCTAGCATGCTGCCGCAGAGTGTTTGTGAAACATGAGCTATTTCTCATGGAGGGTCATTCAAAGGAGGCAGCGAAATAGGACGTTTTTTTAGCCTTTCTGGAAATTGTTTATTCACCTTTGCAACGAGAAACTGTCATCTTTAAACCATGTCACTGTGTGGCGCAACTGCATACAACTTTTGTTGGATGGTTCGGTATTTAGAAGACTTAAAGGTTCCCTGTTATATAAATAAATGGATCAGGACAAAAAGTGAGCAAATCTTTTTTCCTGAAACTTCCAGAATCTCTTTACACAGAGGGGACACATGTTTATGTATAAAAGACATGAACAAGTGGATTTTGCATAATAGGTAACCTTTAATACTTGGAGCGAATGTACAAAAACAGAGCAATAATCCTTAATGATGTCAAGGAAAATATCTTCACAAAACAATAATTTCATTGGTAAATAAGTCTGCATTCATGACTACATTAATATGCTGTCCACAGCTGCTTTGTACTGAATGCAAGCTTGCCCTTCACTTCATTAAACCCCTGCAGGCATGCGAAGCAGCAGCACAGATATATTGATAAATCTGCAGCCTCCCATTAGACGGGTGCCATGCCAGAGTGCAGGCTGTACAGTGTCCTTGATTAAATCACATAATGCTAATGACCCCAGGCTGCTACAAAATAAACCCAGGCACAGTCTGCTATAACTCATCTTTACAATCTGTATAAATAATAAAGTATCCTTCCTGTTTGTGACAGAGACAAATTACCAGGGTTCATTATTCCTGTCCACATGCCTCTTTTGTAACTTCTTACAAAATACATTTGATCCTCTTTACAAAACATAAAGTTGTGATATATTGTTACAATTCACCATTGCCAGTTGAATAATGACTCAAATAGTGAGATTGTTGCAATCATAACAACTGCTTCACCACAGTATTTTATTATTTGATAACTATTATTATACTGATTCATTTAAAAAAAATGCACCATCTCCCTTTTGCTGAAGATGCATTGTGCAGCTCTGCTGATATGCTTTCTGATTCTTCATCTCTTATCTGTGTCTCTGCGATTGGCTGATCTGTTTCAGAGCATGAGACCAGTGACGTGATTGGCTGCCTAACACTTTGATCTATATTCCAAATCACCAAGCCCTTTCCCATCTATACAGCACATAAAATAATGAATACCCTGAAAAAAAGAAACACATACAAAAACGCATTATATACAGCTCTGAATGTAAAAAATATGCCTCATATCCTTTCTTCTTTCCTCTAACTCAACTATGTATATTACTGTAAGTGCAATATTTAGTATCAAAGGAAATGGAAAAGTGAGCAGGAAATGATGCGTCACACTGTGGCTATGAACCAGGCATAATGATGAATATCTCGTCCCCTCCTACACTCAGACCCGGGCGATAATATTGCACTTGTCCCACAATTTAATATTCAAGGGTTCAAAGCTGTACATTAACTCCAGAGTTTAAACTGATTAAGCCGCCTGTGTGAGGGCACCAATCAGAAAGGGGATTTTTTTTTTTAACCTCGCTAACACTGGCAGGGTCACATAATGCCCTCATCATCACCATCTGTTCAGAGGTCACTGCAGTCTTTAGCTCCAAACACACTCCCTCCTGCAGCAGTGAGGAGGCTGGTTAGATTAACAAGAAGAAATGGTCCATACAAATATGTGTTTTTTAAACCTTCCATAAAAGACAGGAAGTTAGTAGCAGTGACTATCCAGTGTCGATTCATTAATAGAAACTGCGGATTGCCCTAAGAAAAAATTAAGGAGCAGGCACACATCTACACACACACACACACACACACTCAACACAAGAGCTTTCTGGTTTTGTTAATAAATGACCAGCTGGGCCGGTGAGCTACATTCCTGAAACACTGACTCACCACTGTGTGTGTGTGTGTGTGTGTGTGTGTGTGTGTGTGTGTGTGTGTGTGTGTGTGTGTGTGTGTGTGTGTGTGTGTGTGTGTTTAAGCAAGACGTACAAAAGCAGGAGAGTCTTCAGATCACATCTGGGCCTCTGCAGAAGCCGGCTAATGCTTTTGTTTTGAAACAGCTCATTACTTGTGCAACAGTCACCAACACTTATAAACTAATGACTCAGTGGTTTGGGTGTGTGTGTGTGTTTGTGTCTGTGTGTCTGTGTGTGGGCACAAACAAAGAAGAGAGACAGAAGACGAAAAAGACTCAGTTATTTCTAGCAAGCCTAGGCTGAACGCAGCTGTGCTCCTTTCTGTCTGTGAATGTGTGTGTGTGTGTGTGTGTGTGTGTGTGTTGAGAGTCGCGGTACCTTTGTCGCTAAAATCGTCGACCAGGATGATCTCTGCGATGAGCTGTGGAGGAGAGCGGTTGAGCACGCTGTGAACGGTCCTCAGCAGCGACGACCAGCCTTCGTTATGAAACGGGATGATGACGCTGGTGTTGGGCAGCTTGTCTGCATACAGCTTCTTTATACAGCTACACAAACACACAAAGCCAAAGAAAGACATTAGAGATGTGTATAGACCAAAGTGTGTCATGCCTGTTTAAATAATAACTTTTTTAGACATGCATGTGGGTCCAACATTTTGGTCTAGAGTGAAATATTAAAACCTATTGCACGTGTTCCTATAAGATTTAGAACACTTAGCAACACTCCCAAATAATTTAAGGATTTCATCTTCACCAACAACTCACAATTCCTACTTATTTATTAATGTATCCCAGGATAGTTTTTACATGAGACAATAACTTTATATAGTTATGAGAAAACGATTTAACTTTCATGTTTTACTGCACTGTACTTCTGATTATCATCAAGCCTTAGCTATAACTACCATAACATAATATTCCCTTCCACTGCTACGCCGACGATGTACAGATATATCTGCCTCTCAAAGCAAATGTCAAACACTCACTACAGCAGCTGATGGACTGCTTAGCAGAGATAAAATCCTGGCTGAGCAAAAACTTTCTCAACCTCAACGAGAGCAAGACCGAGGTCATCTTTTTTGGACCGCAACCTCCAGCCTCTCCGGTTGATATTCTGGGGTCTCTCAAAAAAAACATCCTCCCCTCGGTCATGAACCTTGGAGTGACCTTCACCAGCACTTTTAAATTCGACAAGCAGATCAGCACTGTAGTCAAATCGTGCTTTTTTAAAATAAGACTATTGGCCAAAACCAAGTCGTATTTATCTTTTAATGATTTAGAAATGGTTATTAACGCCTTTGTAACCTCGAGACTCGACTATTGCAACGCTCTGTATGTGGGTATGGACCAGGCCTCAATTAAACGCCTGCAGCTAGTCCAAAATGCAGCTGCACGTTTGCTGACTGGCCACAAAAAGCGTGACCACATCACCCCTATTCTGGCCTCACTGCACTGGCTTCCAGTTCGGTTCAGAATTGATTTTAAAATCCTTTTATTTGTTTTTAAAGCACTAAATGGGCTGGCTCCGGCCTATATAACTGAACTGCTCCAGCGCTACACCCCAGCCAGACCTTTAAGGTCTGCTGACCAGCTGCTGCTGGTAGTGCCCAAGACCAGGCTTAAAACCCGAGGGCACCGAGCCTTCGCAGCAGCTGGCCCTAGGCTCTGGAACACTCTGCCCCTCCATGTGAGGTCGGCCCAGACCCTAGGGGTTTTTAAATCCACTCTAAAAACACACTTCTTCTCTCTGGCCTTCTAGTTAGAGCGGAGCACGACTCCTGACTTTTCCTTGTGTTTTTATTTTAATTTTGTTTTTTTATATATATCTGTTGTAACTTATTGTCGTTTATTGTGATTGTAGTAATGTGTTTTTATTACATGTACAGCACTTTGGCTCGACCAAAAATCGCTTTTAAATGTGCTATATAAATAAAACCTGATTTGATTTGATTTGATTTGATGATGCTAACATAAAATGATAAGTATGTCCTCTTGTTTAGAACTTAAGTGTCTATCATATTTGCAAAAATTGTAATTTGTCTTGTAATTTAGCTCCGGATTTTAGGACAACATGCACCATACACAACAAGGAAAACAGATAACATATTAACATTATTTTTCTTTTTTTTTAATGTACAGTTTAAACAGTGTTGCTTTTGGATCAAATCCATTCATGATATTTCAGTTCAGCAGTGCACACAACAGTGTTTATACACGCATAAATATTGACTAATGCGGTGGAGGAAGGAAATCAATGAATAGCTAATAAACAAAAGCTGGTTATGCTCAGACTTAATGTAAGTAAGTGTTTGGCCATATAGATTCATGGAGATATTCAGTTTGTTTAATTTAGATGTTCATATGCTAATCGAGAGCAGGGTGGGAAATCTTGTGGAACCAGGAACACTGGCCTTTTTCTTCCGTGCTCTCAGCCCGACCTGATCAACGTGTCGCTCCTTTAATAAGAAGACGTAATGAAGCGTTCCACCTGCTGGCTTGACCTTCCCTCCCATTCTGTTGTCTTTCTCTCTCTGAGTAGTTGAGGACGAATCTGTAGAGACAGTAATTATCTCCGAGTCTCTCAGGCCTGTCTGGCTGCCTCAAACTCCACCTCTGTCTTTCTTCCTCTGTATCCTTCTGTCTGTCTCTCTATCACACCCTTCAGACAGTGAGTGAGAGTGAAATGAATGAATGAATGCTGCTGGGAGGTACTGGCCTACTGAGCACTGTTGTGGCACCATGTTGTCAGACAGACGTCACTCTGCTGTCACTTCGACCAAACAAAGAGACACACCTGATCCCCCCCCACCACCCTGTGCTCTGCCCAATGTCTTTGTATTTCCTGTGTAAAGCGTAAAGGACCTCTGAGGTTCAGAGTGTCCCAGACATGCAATTTCTGTGCTCTTGTTTAGAGGGATTTCAGGCTTCGACACAACAGCCAGACGGAGGCCTATGGAGCTAATTTCCTGCCATAACTCCACAAACAAACTAAACAGGTTTTACAAATGCCTTATGATTCACTAACAAACACAATGTGGTTTGCAAATACAAAACACCATCTACAAACTAATGCATTTAGTTTTGCAAAGAAAAAACGTATCTATCAAATAAACACATACCATTATTCTAATAAATCATGTTTCAGAGACAAATTCAGCTTAGGTTTTACAAGTACACACATTTTTTTTACAACTACAACACTTATTTTTACAAGTACAAAACTTGTTTTTACAACTACAAAACTTTTTCTTCTCACGGCGGAATATTACTGCCAAAAGTCACGTGAGTGAGTCACGTGACTTTTGGCAGTAATATTCCGCCGTGGTTGTGCTCATACACACTCACACATGCTCACTCACACATGCTCCACGGCAGCAGGGGGCACTACTGAGTCCATTGGGAAGGCGGGAGGTTGAGCAGAGCATGGAACAGCCCTTGCCAGTCTGATGACAGGTGTTTCTAGCGATCCAGCCGGTGATCTGAATTTAGCGATCACAACGAAAACAGCCAAGACACATATTGAGCCCAGAAAATGAATGTTATTAGGGCTGTAAATATAATAAGCCTTTGTCTAAAATGGACAACATTGTAACTAAGGAGATTTAAACTATACAGCGATTCTCCACTCGGTCAATCAGCTGCTCTTCATTTTCTTTCCTGCTATATTCAATGAGTGATACAAATATTTTTTACCATACGTTCTGAATAAAACTGACACTGTTGGACTCGGTACTAGTTGACTGCTACCAGAAATAAAAGGAAGTAGCCTACTTTACTGTGTACTTTGTGAGTAATCCTCTGTCAGAGTCCCCTCCATAGTACATAATGCATGTTTTTTGCTATCTTTGATGAATGATACAAATAAAATGTTACCATTAGTTCTTAATGAAATTGATACGGTTTGACTTTGTATTAGTAAGCCTACTACTAACAATACATTGAAGTACTTTTACTGTGTATTGTTTGAGAAATACTCTGTCAAAGTCCCCTCCTGTGAACAAAATCAAGCCACTTCTGCTAAGTTTGATGAGGGAATTATTTTTTGTTGCCATTAGTTCTTCGTGAGATTGATCCTGTTGGACTCAGTACTACTGAAACTACCCCCACAAGTACTATGAAGTACTTAATGTGTACTTTTCCAGTAATCCTCTGTCAATGTCCCCTCCTGAGTACAAGAATGCATGTTTTTCTTTTAATAAGCGTTAAAAAACATTTCTTCCTGAGACTGATATTGTTGGACAGAGTATTTTAAGAGGATGGTAGACATGATATCAGCAATACTTCCAGTCAGTACTCCAGCAGCAGCATTTTCACACCTTGGAAAGCCTTTAGAGTCTGGCCTGGATAGCTGGTCACAAATATCCTTCAGCACACTGACACACTCTGTCACATGGTTGCCCTCTTATGATGCTGCTGTCTTTTAATATATAATTATTCCTCTGCCGCTAGTTCGTTCCTCGCAGATTCTTCAGTCTCATCAGCCTCATCCTTCCATCAGTCCCAGTTAACGCCTCCAGCACACTTCCAGTATCTGACTCCATATGATATTGTCCTGATGCTGTAAGGGTGATGCCCCATGATCACAAAATGACCCCTCTCGAGTGCCAAGGACCTCATATTATGTCTGTCATTAATGTTACATCACCCATTAAATCACCCAAAAAATATTTTTTTCCCTCATCAAACTTAGAAGAAGTGGCTTGATTTTGTTCTCAGGAGGGGACTTTGACAGAGTATTTCTCAAAAAAATACACAGTAAAAGTACTTCAATGTATTGTTAGTAGTAGGCTTACTAATACAAAGTCAAACCGTATCAATTTCATTAAGAACTAATGGTAACATTTTATTTTTGGGTCATTCCAGAATTGGAGGACATTTCATGTCCCCCATATAAAAAATCTAATAATCCATGCCCAAAAAGCTAAGACATGCACTTGTTGTGTTAAATATACTTGTCTTGAGACAAGATGCATATAAAGTTGTAGAAAAAGTGGTTTCAAAATATTATTTAAAATATCAAATAGCTCTCGAACACCCCCTAAAATTGCCCTTTTCTCTTGTCCCAGCTTCTTGGTGACCAACTTGCATGTCAAATATAACATTTAAAATAGGGTTTTTATTTACTTTTTTGGTATTATTCTATTGATTTATGTGTCTTGTAATGGTAAAATCAATTTGTTAAATCATAAACACATTTTAAATAACAGTAATTTTGCACAGAAGGTGTGTCCCTCAACATGCGCGCAACCCTGTTACCGAAACCTTTTTAGCTTGGCAGAGGAAGTGAAAAAACTGTTTGTCGCATGACACAGTGGAAAGGACATCAGCAAGCCATGTGCTACTACCATGGGTAGACCAAAACTAAGTCCTCTCTTTTATTTGTAATATATTTCCAATCTTGTCACTCTTGAAGGAGTGTGGCACTCATACAAACGCAACCCTGTTACTCAAATTATGAGACAAAAACTAATTAATTTCAAATGTATCTTTCTTTTGTTAAATATCTAAGTGTGTCCATTCCTTGACAATAGCATTACATTGAGCAGCTAGCATTAATTCCTGAGGTAAAAGCTAAAATTAGCATTGATTTTCAACCCTGTTACTTGCAACCCTGTTACTATAATTAGAGTAACAGGGTTAATTCTTCATTGGAAAATATACATTTGATGCCTTAGCTGGGCAAATCACTTTTTTTTATGGTTTATTATCTGTTTTTCCTAAATACATAACAAAAAATAATAAAATGAAAGGTTCATTTTTCAAAAATGTTGGTGTCTAAATTGTCCTCCAATTCTGGAATGACCCTTTTATCATTCATCAAAGATAGCAAAAAACATGCATTATGTACTATGGAGGGGACTCTGACAGAGGATTACTCACAAAGTACACAGTAAAGTACTTCCTTTTATTTCTGGTAGCAGTCAACTAGTACCGAGTCCAACAGTATCAGTTTTATTAAGAACTTGTGGTAAAAAATATTTGTATCACTCATTGAATATAGCAGGAATAAAATGAAAAGCAGCTGATTGACCGAGTGCAGAATCGCTGTATACAGGGGCGGACTGGGACAACAAATCAGCCCGGGACTCTCGACCGGCCCACTTCGGTACCGCCGGCCCACCTCGGTACCGCAAGTAAATACCGCGAGGAAATTGACGACGGGGGGGGGGGGGGGGGGTGAGCAGTGACTTATCCGACCGGCCCACTTCAGTACCGGCCCATCGGGATTCGTCCCGAACGTCCCCTGGCTGTATATATAGTTTAAATCTCCTTAGTTACAATGTTGTCCATTTTAGACAAAGGCTAAATATATTTACAGCCCCTAATAACATTTATTTTCTGGGCTCAATATGTGTCTTGGCTGTTTTCGTTGTGATCCTAAATTCACCTTGTTTATAATATTATCACTATAACACTGACCCAGATCGCTGGATCGCGAGAAACACCTGTCATCAGGCTGGCAAGGGCTGTTCCATGCTCTGCTCAACCTCCCGTCTTCCCAATGGACTCAGTAGCACCCCCTGCTGCCGTGTAGCATGTGTGAGTGAGCATGTGTGACTGTGTATGAGCCAGCAACTGCGGAATATTACTGCCAAAAGTCACGTGACTCACTCACGTGACTTTTGGCAGTAATATTCCGCCGTGAGAAGAAAAAGTTTTGTACTTGTAAAAAAAAGTTTTGTAGTTGTAAAACAAAGTGTTGTAGTTGTAAAACAAATTTGTGCACTTGTAAAAAAAAGTTGTGTACTTGTAAAACCTAAGCTGAATTTGTCTCTGAAACATGATTTATTAGAAAAATGTTATGTGTTTGTTTGATAGATACGTTTTTTCTTTGCAAAACTAAATGCATTAGTTTGTAGATGGTGTTTTGTATTTGCAAACCACATTGTGTTTGTTAGTGAATCAGAAGGCATTTGTAAAACCTGTTTAGTTTGTTTGTGGAGTTATGGCAGGAACTTAGCTCCATAGAGGCCTGTCAGGTCAGACATTGACCCTGTTTCATTGGTCCGTGCATGATTGAGCCAAGAGCTTGCTTTTAATTAAAGATGTTGCCAAAAAATAAGCCGCAAATGATCCAATAAACCCAAGAGTGTGCTTATTAAGCCCTATCATTAGAGATGATAACCATGGTTGCGTAACACACTTTCAACAGAGTTACACAACGACACAATCAAAAAGCACAGATTATGATGTATCTATTGAAGGCTTACAATTGTTGCACTGACAGCTGTTCCTTTTAAAGGATTCAACTGTGGATCATTTCAAGTCATTAATAATTGGTATTGGCAATGTTGTGTTTCGTTGAATTACATTCAAACTGCTTTGTTGTTGCCACCCCAAACAATACACCACAGAATAACAGTGTTAGTGATCAGAATCAAGTGTAAATGGATCTATATTTCCTTGAAAAGTTATATATACTGTAGCTCAAACTGTAAAATTACCATTATCATAAACAGCCTAGGGTAATTTCAATCTTTATGACCTGGTATTTCTCATGCCTGTGCTCTTCTGGATCCTCTGTTAACATTAGTGCTCTGTGGGCTAAGAGGAAGGGAATGATAAATGTACACATAACGCTGCTGTCCAGAAGGCTTGGAAATCATAGTGTCTCACATTTTATGCCACACTGGCTCCACAGCTGCATTGCTCCACCTCGCAGCTCACGAAAAGCTCTGCTCCCTTTACAGCTTTGAACATGAACAAATGTTTTAAATAATTTGAAAGAATTGGGTGCAGTTTGTTGTGCAGCGTTGATAAAGGGTGTTAGGATGACTTTAGGATGGAAAACGCTTCATAAGAGTTGTCTTACAGTGACTGCAGGAGCGAAAGAAGCCTCTGAATTCCTGTCACGTATCAGGTCAGCAGGGTCTGATTCTGTTTAGCAGTTGATATTTATAGTGTTGCTGTTGTGTTTATTTCCAGTATTTTCTTCTTTAATGAGTCAGAGAAGAGCTGAGAGAAACGCAGCAGGCTGTCCAGTATTAACAGGTTCATATGGCTCATCATGTCTCTAAAGACTGTTATTTAACACACTTTATTCTGGTAAATGTTGAACTTAATGAATGCCTCATCCATGCCCCAAGACAACAAATGAAATAGCAGTTGTGACTGCTTAGCGCTTTTTAGCCTTTTAGGCCTCTTAGGTGTTGATATGCTGAAGTTTAGCAATTTATGTTTGTTCTTTCTATGTTATGTTTCGATTACAAATGATTATTGTTTAGTGGGTTTTATTTTCCATCTTACATTATGTGTTCCATTTCATCTAATTGTATTAAATGTATGTGTACTATATCATTTATTTCCTGTGTTTATGTTCATGTTATGTCTATTTCATTCCTCCAAAGCTGGACTTGTTGTATGAAAGAGGCTTTATAAATAAAGTGCAAAGTGCTAGACAAGTGGATCACCAAAATCAGTGTCAGCGGATCACCAAAATGATCAACGCTTTCTCTTCTTGGAATATCTCGACAAATACTGGTTAGATTTAAAATGTCCATGGACAGAGGCCAACAAATACATACTGTACAATAAACAAAACAATACACTTTCCAATTTCCGATCTTCTCCTAGCTCCTCTTCTTCCTCAGGAAATCACATTCCAAATATAACCCCAGCCCCCCTGCAGTCAGAATAAAAGCTTCTGAAGAGCAACAGAGCAGAAGTCTATCTGTTCTTCACACCTTGCAGCAGAGGGGGACATCAATGACGCTGTTAATTGCTGTCAGGAGCATGGTTTATAAGTGCATACAGTAGGTGTTGTGTTGTGTGTTATCAGCTGCCGTCAGTGTAAAGCTATACATGTCTCCTGTGAATACACTGGACAATTGTTCCTATTATTGCCTGTTGTAATGAGTTGGGACGGATCCAAAAGGAAAATTAACGGTGCTATAAGAAGGCTTTGGTGTTCAGGCAGAAGTGACCTAATGGGCACCTTCATCGCATCCCAGCAGAAGGTTGGGGGTATTTATTTCGCATTTGTAATATTTTGTGATTTAATGCCTGGATGGCAAGTCACATTTGTGTCTATCCTAAGGTTATAAAGTATTGACTATGGACTTGAGCAGGTCAAAATATTTTCAAGACAATTCTCAAACCAAAACAAGTTATTTCGCCTTACATTTTGCCTTGTCACACTGTAACATAATAACACATGCACTCAGGCAGTCAGATCCACATTTCTCTCCTACAATCCAAATGTAAAGATCCACAGCTTTCTCTTAAATCATCAGGAAGCTCAGAATTGTATCAGCTAATTGCTGTCTTTCTTTCTTCTTCCCTCAAAAACAGATATCACAGTCATGCTCTAAATCTGGCCTCATCTAATAGTCAACCTTATTTTTTGAGAACAACAACCATCTGTCAGGAAGGACTGGGAGTCAGCAGGTTTTCAATCCAACCAAAGGCTCCACCAGGTGATTCATTTTTCCTTTCCGGTTGATGGAGTGCCAATCTGTGAAATAACCTGCTGCAGTGGTTGGCTGGAATGAAAAGCTGCACACGCTCAGCCCTCTGCGGCCCGTTCCTGCCCCCATTCAGATGAAACTGCTCATACAAACACAGGAGATTTATTTCTTCTTCAAAAAACGGTTTAGCCCGAGGTTACTTGGCGCTTCACGGGAACATTCTTAAAGGAAGTGCTTTTCATCTGGTCACCATTGCACAGTCCATACAAATGACTGATGTGGCACTTTGAAATGGCATCACAACACCAACATGGCTCATATGGAACAGCCCTTTATTTTGTAATTTATTGAGTCAAAATAAAAATCACCTTTAGTCATAGAAAATTCAAAATCAAGTAAAAACAAAAAACGAATTCTAACAATAGTTAGAGTTCATGAATCACTGTTGTTGCATTATGGCATTTGATTGATACTGCCAGCTGTAATACACTTACGTTTTTTTTAATAAACAATACATAATAAATTAGTCAAATGAATAATACATTTTGCCAAAACCATTGAAGTCACTTAATTTCTGAAATAACTTTATATTTTGACTTTATTTTAAAATCAGACCAGTCTAGTAAAAGTTTTGCTGAAATTATGAAAATAAGAAAATGTATGAACCTTTTTTTGAAGTGTCAAAGCTCTGTACTTTGGCTCCTGATAATCAAACAGGCCCCACCTTAATGTTTATCTTGACACCTTGTCGCTGGCTATTAAACTTTATTCCTCCCTAGACAAACACACACAGTCACACTCATACAGGACTCACTTTGGATTGCGGATGTCAGGGACGGAGCGGTTGAGGGAGATCCGGTCGCTGACATAAATGTTGAAGCCGTTCTCCCTGTAGGCCTGGTCGACCCTGTCAGCGTCCGTGAGAGGGAACGCTTTCCCCTGTTCACCATTACCTGATCAAACAGATTACAGAACACCTCCATTTATTAAATACACCACACTGAAGTACGGTCATATTGTATCCAAAGTCTGCATACCTTTCTAAATGTTATCAACCTTTATGGGCTCATAGGCAAAAAGGCGTAAAAAAACATAGGTAACCTACTTTCGTTTGGATAAGATAATGCAATATTCAAACATCAAAAATAATTTCTGGCACAGTGTTGAAAGTAGTGTTTAAAGTATTGCGCCTCAAGGTTTGGAGTATCAAACAAAAACCCTGATCTTTACAGTCAACAGAGATCAGACCAAAATAAAAATTATTCTCAGGCCTATTTGTACACGGGGGAAACACATATTTTATTTAAAAAGAATCAGGGAGCAGTAAATATCCAGTAAAAATAAAAAATACCTTTATCATTAAAATAAATACATGTTTTATTAAGCAGAAAATATACATTTCCTCCTAAAACAAGTGTGGAAGATATCCTCAGGCCTTTAACAACTCATTTCAGGAAGGAAGAACCCATTCCAACTAATTTACACTTTTTGTATAGAGGTTGATTTCCCTGAACAGCATATAAAACTGAGTTGGTGATGATTGTAGCAGATATAAACTATATTTATGACAGCAGAAATGCATTTAAAGCAGATTCACACCGCTGCTGCAGAGCAGGAGAGCAATAAGACTCAGAGACGGAATTGCATGGTGTGTTTGAGAAGAACAGTTCATCTAGATATAAGCGTATGAATGTGTGGATCTTTCTTCAAAATATGGGATTTTTTTCCTAACAGTGTCATGCGTTCCTCTTCTATCTATGAGGGATCATCTTTGGGGAGCGACTAGGAGGAGGTTTGGGACTTACCAGATCGAGATAAATCTATTTTGATTGCTTCATAGTTATGCCAGTCTATCCTCTGCACGCCATCACGTATCACCTGAGCATCCTTCCCCGCCCGATTAACCGCCTGTGGAAACACACAAGCAAGGAGAAAGGCAGTCATTATTGCTGTCAAACACACGGATATACTGTACTTGTTGGAGCAGACAGTCCATCACATTCACCACCTTTAAGATGATCATTGTGGTTGTAATGGATCCATTTAAAAAAGTTAGTGCTTTTAAGGACCCTTTGGCATCTGATATTTGAAAGTCAACTGCATAAAAATGCAAATTCCAGAGGAAATCAAACCCCAGGCAAAACAATGAGACGACATGAAAAGGTCCATCAAACTTTGGCCATATCTCAAAACTCTCAAATGTCAAAGTGTCTATAAATGCACCAGAAGGGAGGGTTTTTGAAACTGTTCCACTAACTCATAAAATGTGCTTGATAAATTTCCTCGAGCAAGCTTCCAAGTCTCTGTTTCACATTAAGTTTTCCATTACCAAGATTTATTTGGGTATTTATAGCTACAAAACTGGACAGCTAGAAATGAGCTTAGTAATGCTAAATCAACGAGGGAAGAGCCAGATGAATTTGATTTCTCCTACAGCCTAAGGCTTTTGGCCACTGTCAATAAACCTTCAACTTGTACAAGACACTGAGAAATTGTCAAAAGTGATGTTAATTAGGGCTGCTCAATTAATCGTATTTTAATCGCAATTACGATTTTGGCTTGCAACGATTATGAAAACAACATAATCGAAATAAAACGATTCTTTTATTCTTTTAATTTAAAAAAAAAAAAAATTTTTTTTTTTTTTTTTGGTTTTTCAGTTGAATTATACTTAAAGTTCAGGGTAATCAACTGTTAAAAACATGCTGTTCACTTTTTTTTTTTTAATAAATGGATGTTTTCAAAGTAAATGGATAACCGTTTTTAATAATCGTGATATCAATTATTGACCCAAATAATCGAGATTATGGTTTTTGCCATAATCGAGCAGCCCTAATGTCAATTATTCAAAATGTGTTCTTAATGCGCTCAAATGTGCTAAGCCACTGGTGTGCATCTTTAGGAACACTCGCAGAGTTAGACAACAGTGCAGCACACACAATAAGGTTTTCTTCCTGGTCCCCTGTCAGAATCAGTGTCAGCGAAGAGATTTCTCCAGAACATCAAACTCTCACTTCCAACAGCGCTGTGCTGAGAGTTTATCCACAGAGTGTGTGCACTTCTATTTCATGCTTGAATATCCTGCGAGGAGAATATCAATGTGATGACGCAGAACCCCGCAGAGGCCTTATATACACAACCACACACATACAGACAGAGACGCTGCAGCTCCGCATATGGAGACAGAGGATGCTTCTTCTTCCATTTAGTCATTCTACACACCGAGTGACTTTCAGTGACTCTGCATTGTGAGTTACAGGATCACAGCACAATGGAGCAATAATGAGCTCGCTGGGAGGAGGAAATTAGCGAAACACTTTAAATACAAATGACACCACTGACTGTGTGAAATACAGTGAATTATTAATTAGACTGCGGGCTTAGAAGAATATGACACCAAATAAAAAACTGATCTATATACACACACATTTGGTTGAGGACTTTTGGTATGTGTGTTATGGTGTTGTTATTCAATATTTCCGATGACCAAGTTTTTACTTTTGGCGGCAACTGGAAGATTGTTGACATCCATCCATCTATTTTACTATACATTCACATTGTCATTTTAATCATTTGGATTTGCCGTGTTCTAAATGCATTGTCTTTTTAAATCTATGCACTGTCATCTTGTGCATGTCTGTCTGTCAATGGATAGAGACCCATCCAATGTTGCTCTCCCCAAAGTCTCTACAATGTTTTCCCTTTTAGATTCTCTTTGGGAATGTTTCCTTATACCCTAAGGAGGTCTCTGCTGCAAGGACAGAGGGTGTCGTATGATGCACACACTGTAAAGCCCCCTGAAACAATTGAGTTATTGCTGATATTGGGCTATTTAGGTCAAATGTGATTGATTGGTTGGTTCCTGACAGAGACGAGGTGGAAAGTGGGGACATTTTGGCCTGTTCTCACAATAGATCAAGATTTCATGTTTTGTTAAGGGTCAGGTTAAGTTAAAGTAAAGGTCAGGTAAAGGGATTCAGTAATGAGCAACATGTTGATGCGACACATATCTTTTCAAACTGCAAAATGTGGGGACTCGTGTGCATAATCAGACTGCATTGGCTTAAATATTTTACAATCAATTTGAATTTTAACACTTAAAATCCACACAGAAATGCAAATTGACATCATTCCACCTTAGAATATATAACTGGCCAGCTGCCACCTGATACAGGGAGACACGTGGACACCTGTTTCCACCTGTATGTATTGACTTATTATTCCATCTCCTTGCTGCTCTCACATAGATGCTGTATAGGAGAATAATTAATTCAGCTCTCTCTCTTCTTTCCCCCTTCTCCTCACCTCTCTCCCCTCCCTTCACCACTTCTATTCTCCTCTTTCTGTCACAGGCAGATGCCCTCAGTGTGTCATACAAGGACCTGACAAGCAGCAAGAGTCCATCTGTGCAAATGTATACTAAGAAGAAGCAAGATTGTGCCGCCCCATTTCCTCCTGATTAAAATTTCAGCACACGTCGCCATGATATTCCTCTGGGGCTTTTCTTCATTCTCAACAAGACCTTGAAAAACAAGACAAGGAGAGAGGAAAACTTTTCTGCTAATGTGTGCACATGTTTAGTTTTGTGGAAGCAGAACGGGGGCGGGAACTGAACCCGAACAAAAGTAATTGAGACTGACAGTCGAAGAGGATGAGAATGAAAAAGACAGAATAATCTGCAGGAACAGATGGGGGATGAGATCGTTTCATGTGTTAAACAAGTGGGGTAAGACAAGTAAAAGGAGTCTGCGAAGATTTAAATTCTCAACACAGTCTCCTCTAATGGCCACTTGACTTTTCACAAATTGTTGATGTACTCTGGCTGAGAGACTGTCCTAAATGCTCATTATAAACTCAACTAACCAGCAAGTGCGATTGTTTAGTTATTCATTTAGATGACGCTGTTGGGATTGTTATTCGTTTGGCAGGTATTTGGTCAAATGACTAAATAAGTAGACACATTGAAGTGATGCCTTTTTGATAGCACTAGATAAGATGTCTGGGGATCACCAGAGCTATTACAATTCAAATTGAGGGGGAAATTAATATCCCAAATTGGATATTTGACAGAAATCCATTTAATCATTGACTAGATTTTAAAAGCGGTTGACTTTATAACCCAACAGAAGAACATAACTATTCCGTTTATTGCTCACATGAATACTGTACACCCAAGGCTCATACTTTTTCTGAACAGGACTAAGACTAACATGCCTAACATTTAATGAACATTTAAACTTTATCGTGAGCACGAGAAAACTTTGTTCTCCTTAGGGGCTCCGTAAAAAGCAGAGCAGAAGGAGCTCCATGATTCTCAGGGATTTAACACTGCTTAATCTTACAATTCTCCGTTAAATGTAATGATAGGAAATATATTGCATCAATTTCCATTTGAGCAAAAACAACACAATGTCCCAGCATGACCCTTTACATACTCACCCCACAAATGAAGCTAGCTCAATGTTTGCATCATAATGAGCATACAGATGCAATGTGATATGGTTTAGAGACTAGAAAAGTTTCAATGTTATAATTCACTGTATAAATGAATGATACAGAAACTCAAAACTACGTAACAGTCTTATTTATGATGAGGATACAATTATTGTTCTTATTTAGATTGGGGAGAAATGTGTTTTTTTCTTATAAGAAGTGTTGAATGTGAATGAAAACAAATTGTTTACTATGAGTGCAAATGGAGTGCAATGTGATTTTTGTGATACGAGGAATTATTTACAGTATGAACCCAGTTACATCACAGCCAGCTCATAAGAATGCAAATTCATAGCCAAGTCACACGCGCCCGCCCTGATGAGGCATTGAAACAGAGCTGAAAATAAGGCAGTACCAAAGAAAGTAATCAGTTTCCCTGCTGTACTACACAGCAGAATATTGCCTTCCTCCAGTCTGCTAATCACCATCATCAGAAAGCCAAGGCTCCATGCAGCCACAAACTCATTTCACTCTGGGCACTTTTCCGCTCTATTAATATTTGAGACAGCACAAACACACTGATAGGACATTGGAGGAACAACCCCACGAAGCACACAGGCTGTGCCTTTTCCATCCAGCACGCTCTCATTAACCAACAGGCCCCAAGACGTCTTATAAATGACACAGGAAACAGAAAACTATTTTTAAAGCATAACAATTATTTTAAGTTGAAAGTAAGCATGGGAGGAGAACTGAAAGGACAGGGATGTAAATCTTGTAACCTGGCAGTGAGAAGCCTCATTACATTTAATATAGCCTTTTAGTGCTCTGTTTAACTGATGACAAAAGGCCATGTGTCAGTCAGTGTTTGCACACAGATTCACAATAGACAGACTGAGAGAGTCAGTTAACAAATGTGTGGGTGTGTTTGCATAAGACATGGAGACAGACGCATGCACGTTGCCTAATCTTCCTAAAATGGGTTGTGTGTCTAATATCAAGATATGTCTTCTTCAAAGGACACATCCTTATCTCCAAATCAGACAAACGCTTCACTGCTAGTTTTAATCGTATATACTGTAGTTTGTGGAACATTCTGTTCAGAAATGAAAAGTCTGAAGTTTTTCGAATCAGCCACACTTGAAGGCGGGTTGAAAAGCCGGCTATTAAAGATAGGTGACATTGTTTAAATATAATGGATACAATTGTACATTTTAAGACAATGCAATATCCATAAGTGCTAATCCCAACAATTTACTGTATTAATAGGTTACAATATGCATGTTTTTGTTTTATTTATAAGTATGTATGGTTATTTTTATTAATGATTGTTTTAACAGTTTTGTATGTTAGGATTGCTATTTCATGTGGTTATACCACGTGCAATGACCATTTTTTTTTTAAACAAATAAATCTAGAATTCTATTCTAGTCTATATAGTCCCTCATGAAAGATATTAATTATCTCGACCGACC